ACCTGTTCTTTCTCTCATTCCCCCCGTTGGCCCCTGGAACTTCTCCCTGTGTGTGTACTGCACCCAGCTTGCTATAGAGCCCAGTCCCCAGGAGAGAAGGCCTCCCCTGAGCATCTCCCACCTGGCCGGAGCTGATGGGTGGGCAGAGTTCTGGGCTCCCAGAGGCCTTTGTTCCCCGGTACACACTCCCACCCCCACTGCCACCATGGCCAGGCACAGGCCAGGACTATGAGTGTCTGTCCTTCCTCTTAAGGCACTCCCTTCCCCAGGATTGTGCAATAGCAAAGTGTCCCTCTTCCCAGTGGACTGGGCAGTGGGTGCTCATCTGTCCCCCCTCCTCCCCATGCAAGTGCTGTTTCGGACAGGAGTCACCATGCAAGGGTGACATTGACGACCATGTTCAAAGCCACCACAGCTGCTGCTGCTCTGCCGCCTATACAGAAGAATCCGAATCTTTTTCATATTCTAATAAATCCATGTGAGTTTTTGATAGAGTCAAGGGCTGCTTCCTGGGGACCAGGGACTTTGGGGAGTAGGGCGACCTGGGGGCCTGAAGGACTTGGCTTGATAGCTGGTGCAGAGAAACGCTTAACCATGTCAGCGTCCGGTGTGGTTATTACAGGCACTGAGGATACAGCTGTGAGCAAAGCGGGACACTTCCTGCCTTCAGGTGTCTTCAGCCTCTGGAGAAATGCAGCATTAATCAAACATTTATACAGACTAGAAAAACCCAGTGTGTTTGTGAGTGATGGCAAATGAGAGGCCGTGGTGGGATGGAGGTGACAAGGGCGACTTTCCTAAGTGATACCCTAGGAGAGGGCTAGAGAATGCACTGAACTTAACCAGGTGAAGGTTTCAGAAAACTCTCGAATATTCTTATTGGGAGTTGCACATTCTGGGATTTGAGAAAAGACCTGTGCGGCTGGATCGGAGAGATGGGAGAGGAGGCAAAGATGGGGCCTTGCAGCCCATGGTTAAGATTTTGGTTTATACTAAAGGCAGTTGAAAGGTTCTCACCTGTAAAGTGTAGACAGTAACTCCTGGATGAAATGTGCTCAGGTGTGTAGTGGGCTCAGCACAGTGCTGGTGCCTGGTGAGGTTGGATCCCTGCACTTCTGGAAGCTGGCCACCAGAGGGCAGTGGGGCCTTGGCATGCAGGGGCACGCACGCTTGGAACCCCCGAGCTGTCCAGGAAAGCACCTTTTGTGTCTATCCTGGGAGCTGTGTACAGAGCTGATTTGACTCACAAAATCTGAACTGTTCAGTGCCAAAAGGACCATAGACAGGAACCACACCATCCATTTCTGTATTGGTGTCCCAACAAGAGTGAATGGTACAAAGAGCCTTCGACTAAGGGATTCTTTACAGAGGTTTGGGCGGCATTAAAGGAACCTACCAGGGATGGGACCCTGGGAGCTCACACTACAGGGAGCCATTGCAACTCTTAGACCTGAAGGGCAAGAGGTGAGAGCCACAGCCAAGGGGAACAGAACACCACAGCTGCCAAGCAGGAGCCCAGGGGGTAAATGTTCTGATTCTGCTTGTGCCTCTGCTTGGCCAACCCAGCTGAAAGCCAGAAGGAAACACCTGAGTGACTTCACTGAGTTCAGTCCACAAGGGTCAGTTTTCCGTGAACAAAGCAAGGGGAGAGTGGACTTACAGGGGAGACAGGATATCAGCCAACTAATTCCTTTTGCCCCCCACCAACCACCCTTGTCTTTCCTGTGAAAAGCTCATGTCCCTCTTGCTTAATGGTTACAGAATTTTGGTTTTAGATGATGAAAAAGTTTTAGAAATAGACCGTGGTGATGGTTGCACAACATCGTGAAGGTACTAAATGCCATTGTTCGCTTAAAAATGGTTCGTTTTGTGTTAAATAAATTTCACTTCAATTTTTTTAATTGGAAGAGAAACAAAAGCTCTTTGCCATTAAGTGAGACAGTCTTATCAACCACCAAATCCTTGTCATACTCACCATATCCTTGTCATCCTTCAGTCATACTTACCTGGAGCCTACTTAAAACGTTAATCATCACTAGGGATCTTTCAAAAAGACAGCAGAGGCGAATAATGAAAACTGCCACACACACCCCACCTTCTGTAGGTGGTCATAAGGCCTAAATTAGCCATCACGCATCCTCCTTCCACCCTCTTCCACATTCCTCTCACCAGCTGCCAGTACTTTGGCTGATTGGATTCTGTTCCTATGGGGTGCCCTAAGCCTTTTTTCCTGTGCTATGCAGGTCCTTACTGGTCTTAGGTTTGATGGGTTGCCGAGTTTGCCACTGACTGTCATTACTGGACATGGGAGATCTGAGAGGCACCCAGTAAATCTTGGATTCCAGACATAACCTTCCTGCCCACCGTCCACTTTCCTTCTGGTCATCAAATTAGTCACCCTACCTGGTACGGTTGACCCCCTTTCTACCTTTTGGTTAAGCAACATACAAAGCTCCAAGTGACCAGTGAAAAGATCTACTTCCAATTTGAAGGAACCATGTCTGTGTTCCCTGGAGGAGGTATTCCTCCTCTGGGCACCATGTCTGTGTTCCCTGGAGGTATTCCTCCTCTGGGCACCAAGGTCTCCAGACCTACTGAACGTAAAGTTGAGGGAAAGCAAACGTTTCTCCGGTAGGTTCTTTGGGATAATAGAAGAGCTACTCTCATCTCTACCCCTGGGTCCCTGGGCCTCTGCGTTATGGCTGTGAGAGAAGTGGAGCCATATATCAGGCCACCGATTTTAAAGCATATACTGCTTCCTACTCGTCAATAACCTAACTGCAGGGTGGTGTCCGCCAGCTGGCGCCGTAATGCTATTCTATCCAGTCAACTGCTCCAAGTGACAGGGCACACTGCCAGTTCAGTGCATTCCATGGGCGAAACCATCGCTGTACATTGCTGAAGATAGGCAACGTGTAGGATGGCAGAGTGATGAATCAGGCATTCTGGAAAGTCCAGAAATGGTGGTGCTGGCAGAGCACTGCCAGTAGGAAAGGCAAGGCCATATCAGGAAGGCGTGTTTTTACCATGAGGTAATAAATAACTGTCCCCTTCATGAAAGAAGGGGTCAGTGTAATAAACCCACCAATAGTGGGTCCCCCTAGAGCAATGGTTCTTAAGTTTTTGGTCTCAGGAGTCTTTTACATTCTTAAAAGTTAGAAAAGGTATTTGTTTATGTGGGTTATATTTACTTCACTGAAAGAAAAGCTTTTTTAATTTAATCAATTTAAATATTTAAAGATAATAAATCCATTACATGTTAATAAGAATATAACATTTTTAATGAAAAAAAATTCAAAACTAATTGTGAGAAGAGTGGCATTATTTGACATTTTTGCGAATCTCTTTAGTCTGGCTTAATAGATTCTCAGATCCGCTTCTGTATTCAGTCTGTTGTATACATGCCACGTAGCCTCTGGAAAATTCCACTATACACATGAAAGAATGACAGTGAAAAAGGCAAAGAATGTCTTGGTATTAGTATGAAAGTATATTTGACGTCACAGAATCTCTGAAAGAAGCTTGGGTACACCCCCCCAGGGGTTCCCAGTCCTCACTTTGAGAAACATTACTTCAGGGACTGGCGCCAGTTCAGCTTGGTCTTTGCTGCCGGCAGCTTGGGTAGGTACTCAGCAATGCCTGATTTGGTGAGGGAACTGTGTTGAGCCTATGTGGATTAGTTATCTATGGCTGCTGTACTAAATTACCAGGAACTTTGTGGTTTAAAACAACACAAATTTATTATCTTACAGTTCTGGAGGTCAGAAGCCCGAAATTAGTCTCACAGGGCTAAAATCAAGGCATTGGCCAGGCTGTGTTCCTCTCTGGAGTCTCTAGAGGAGAACCTGTTTTCTCTGCCTTTTCAGGCTTCCAGAGGCTGCCTGCATCCCTTGGCTTTTGCCCTCCTTCCATCTTCAAAACCTGTCATGGCAGGTTGAGTCTTTCTCATATCACAGGACTCTGACACTGGCTCTGCCTCTGGCTATTACATTTAAAGACCCTTGTGTTTACATTGGGCTCACCCAGATAATTCAGGGTAATCTCCCTCTTTTTAAGGTCAGCCGATTAGCAACCTTAATTCTATCTGCTACCTTAATTTATCTTTTGTCATATAAACTATATTTACAGGTTCCAAGAATCAGGACATGGATATCTTTGGGAGGTCATTATTCTTCCTACCACACTATGAATAGCCCCTATCCCTGCCACCATGGCCATTTTGTATGTGGGCCCATTGAGCAGAAACCAGAGTAGCTGGGGAAAGAAGTTGGCATCTACATAATGGGTTATCTTGTCCACCTGATTATTGAGAGCCTCCTTAATGATAGATGCCCTTTTGGGGCATTTGTGCAGATTAAAAATAGCTTCACCGTTTGTGCCCATTTCAAGCAGTCCATCCATATATCTCTTCCTTAAACGTCCTCTTCACCTCTCTTGGCATTTGCAAGTCCCTGACACACCAGCCAACTTGTTAGCCACTGCTTATGAATTAGAGTAGATCTGTACCTCCGGTCATCTCTTCTTCCATGCAAAATGGACAGTCCATATAACCAGAAGTTCTGCCCACGATTGAGAGGACATTGCTTCATCACTTTCTAAAAAGACACCCTGAGTGTGGCTTTAATGCAACAGTTGTCCACTTGTGGCTGGTGCTAACACGCCATGCAGACTCACTTGGAAATCCTGTCTGTGCTTTTCTACCATGTACACTGGTCATAGCGACTTCCTCAACTGTGGGTCGAGAGAGAAGCAGTGAAGCAATAAGAGTGGGTACCGCAAGAATTTGAGCCACCTGCTTATGCAATTTCCTTGTGCCTTCTGGACTTGCTCAGGCCTGATCTCATATTTGTTCTTTGATAAGAGAATGCTACCATGGATGTCCAATGTTATGATTATATGGATCAGATAATATCCAGTTCTGGTTGCATGGGTCACTTCGTGTCCCACAGCCGGATATTC